TGCAATTTCCTTGTCTGAAGCCATTGAAAGCCCTCCTCTTCTAACCCAGCCCAGACTTCCTGTGTATGTCCAATCACAGACTTTCCAATGCAGCTTAAAGGGACACTCCAGGCACCCAGACCACTTCTGCCCATTGGACTGGTCTGGGTGCCATCTCCCACTACCCTTAACCCTGCAAGTGTAATTATTGCAGTTTTCATAAACTGCAATATTTACCTTGAAGGGTTAAGTCCTCCTCTACTGGCTGTCTACTAGAGGACCTCCAGCGTCGCTGAAATCCCCATAGGAAAGCATTGAAAGCATTATTCAATGCTTTCCTATGGGGAGGTCTAATGCGCGCGCATGAGACACACTCAGATTTATTCACAAAAGTTCAAATGGCCCTGTACCAAATGGGGTAAAACTATTTGGTTGCATACGGAAAATACAAACCTAGTTCACACTGTTTAACAATGTCTGGATTTTGTTATTCATGCACTTAATGCCAAATGAAACACAACAGAAGGCTGAAATCTGGCCACGGATGCGTCAAATCCGGAATTAGATTTTTAAAAAATATGAACTATTTGCCTACTGGCAGCGCTAGGAGCCAAAATGCAAATAGTTAAAAACCCAGCAGCCACATAAAAAAAAAAAATGAAAAAAACAATATGACCCTCATATTACAATAAGTGAGGTTTTAACCTCCCTATGCTCCCATCTGCCAAGCTGTAGGTAAAACAAATTAAAACTGGAACGCTCTGATTGGTTGACTCACAAGGGGGTAGGACAGCATGGCCATGCCACTTATTAAGTAGGTGAACAATGGCATGTCACCTCCCCACCCCACTGTATAATTATTTAGAGTCCCCACCAACCATCTTTGGAGAGGACACTTGTTTCCCCCACTCCCCTCCAAATATTGTAATTAGGCCCAACATGTGCCAACCATGGATTGGGGCCGGGGTGAGAACACTATGTCCCCTTCCCTTAATATTATAATTAGGCCTCCCACCAGCCGCCAAAGCATGTGGGCCAAGGGAGGTTATTAGGATGCATCCCCTTTTGTTTTAGTGAATAGCAACCCACTCGATTTTATTTATTTTAAAGTCCCCAATCTGATGCTCATAGTGGTGGGACTATATGTGTGCCACATTTTAACGGTCCAGTCACTACTTTTAACATTTAGGAGCTACATTTAAATATTTAGTAAATATGTCCCCACCTCCCTTATGGTAATATGGGGAACATATTGACCCACATAGGCCTTTTTATTTATTTATTTGTTAACTTTTTTTAATGTTGCGGGTGGCTAACAAGCCACATAATTAACCCTCAACAGCCAAAGGATTTAACTTATACCTATGTGGCTGCTAGGACTGCCAGCAGGCAAATAGTAATTCAAATTCATTTGTAAAAAAAGAAAGTGAAAGGTAATTTGCATCCTGCTGGATATTTATTAATATTGGTACTTTGTATAGGTTTCCAAAGCAAAAACACTGCTTTTAATCCAAACACCAAATGCATCTACACGATTGCTGCAGATTTGTTTGGGCCAAACCCGAATTCTGACCATATTTAACTTTAGCAAATATGAGAATTGCCATTGCAGTCAGAATTCGGTCATTTTCACAGGATTTTTGACATCTGGACAAATCCCATGTTTAGCGAATAATCCTGATTGTAATCTTGTATCTAGAATGTGATAGTTTGAAAATATCTTGTGATTTGAGTAATCTTGGTATATAATTCCATCTAATATATATATATATATATGTATATATATATATATATATATATATACACACACACATATATACATATATTTGTGTGAGGGGCAAATAAGGCCGTATAGAAAGCATAGCAAGAGGAGCATAGTAAAGGGGGAAATAAGTCGGTTGAGGTGTGCCGGAACCGAGGTCGCGGCAGGCCTGTAATAAAAGAGGGCCCACCCATGAGATGTAATAAAAATATAGATAGAGGGAGTGGAGGGTGGGGACAAGCGAATCGCTATAATCACGTACGGGACGGAGGAAGGTGAGTAGGGGGATTTAAGTAGTGTAACAAGCCCCTCCCACAACTGCAGGCCAAGCCTTTTCATTTGTGTGAGGGGCAAATAAGGCCGTATAGAAAGCATAGCAAGAGGAGCATAGTAAAGGGGGAAATAAGTCGGTTGAGGTGTGCCGGAACCGAGGTCGCGGCAGACCTGTAATAAAAGAGGGCAAAAAGTTGATACATCCCAGAAACGTAGAACAATCAACAACTAATAAAAAAAACCTTAAGTGCCTAGCTATATGGTAAAGCCGGTTGAAAACTTGGCGGTACGTGGTACATATGGGGGAATATGCTGAGAGCTTCCATTGACCTAGAGATTAAATATATACGAACCAAAGTGAACTAGATTGAAGCCATAGATGCCACCCTATCCTAGAGGGGTGACCAGAATAGTAGAACTGATTAAAACTGGCCCCAAGATCAATGCACCAAAGAAAGTCGGGGTGTAAGGACTGTCCCCAAGTAGTGAGATCTGTGATAGTTAGGCTTGAATAGAAAAAGAGTAAATAGGTGCCCATTTCCTTGTGGTTGATCCAAAAGAAGGCAAAAAACCCAGTTTGAAGCACTGCCAATTTTGCAACAAGCTAGGGAAAAAATTCCTTCTTGACCCCAGAATGGCGGTCAGATTTATCCTTGGATCAAGCAGTTATTACCATACATTGAAGGCTGGTGTCTGGTTCGTAAGGACAGGCGTCTAATAGGTCTGATAGTGATTGAACTAATTGGATGTGGATGGGATATCTGCAAGATTTGAAAATCCTGGGAGCCGGAAATGTCTTGAGTATGGTACTAAACTGGTATGAGGACATGAAAACTGCGTATGAAACATAGACCTGTAACAGCATGTGAAGTTGTAATAGGTAGAGTAGATGCAAGTTAGAGGTGGCAAAAAGAAGCGAAAACCAAATGCAGACAACCTAGCAAAAAAAAAACACAGTAACAGAATACGCGAAAGGAGCAGCAAAGGAGAAGGCCCTAATACATGTACCGTGAGTGTCAACCAGATGAGTAAGATGATGACCATGAGCTAACAAGGCTGGTAGTCCACGAGCAGAGGATGGCAGTGGCTACGGGAGAGGCCGAAGGCAGAGCCAAGAGGAATGCGTAGAGGAGGCACAGGAGAGACCGTATGAAAAAGGTGCAGGAAGTCTTGGCTCGGATCCAGCCAGAGCGGCAGACGTCAATAACTCAAACTGCCAATCTGAAACTGCCCTATTGAAAACAGTAGCGGAGGATGGAAAAGCAAACTCGGGGGCCCTCGCGCAACAGCGTAACCCGTGGAGGCAGACAGATGCTGAGAATTCAGCTGACCGAAAGGCTGCTAGGGAGGGAATAAGTCGACTCGCGAGAAACACAGCGAAGAGAGGAAGAGACCAGGACACGAGAGGGAGTAGCCGAAACTCCACAGCGCGATGAGTACCAGACCTAGCCAGAGAGCAAGGCTGAAAAAAATAAAATAGCACGCCAGCGCCAGGCAATGGAGACCCGCTAAGAGAGAGATGAAGAAACAGCGCATACGCTACCCAATGTGTGTGTGCGTGAGTGTGAGCTGGCATACTAGCTAATGCCAAAAAGGCGAAACAATTAAAACTAGGTTTGGTGACAGGTGAGGCCCTGCTAAATGCCAAGCGGCGTGAGAGGCTCTAACTATGCGTTGGCGCGAGGGGACAATGTGGCCACTGAACGGAGTGGCGGGGTGTTGGCCTCTCGGTGACAGGTAAACATAAGATAGAATGGGAGTGACAGGTGAGGCCCTCTCTATGCTACAATGCGAGGCAACTAACTATGATTTGGCCCGAGGGGCGTAGTACCTCCGAGTATGAGGATGGGTGTAGGCCTCGCAGGACCACTAACCTAAGGCGAAGAAGCCTGGAGGAATTACAACTAGTGGACACCTATGACCCTGACAGCCAGCCACAGCTAACTAAGAGGAGAGGGAAGGTAGCGTGAGAGAGGACGGACTTGATGAACGTGTATCGAAAGAACGTGAGGGTGAACGAGAACCGCAGGGCCGACCGTAACCGAGAAGCAGAGTAAGCACGTCAGAGTCCAGGCGGTCAGGCCAAAAAGGAGCGATCCCGGCAATAGGTAATAGAGTACGTGGTGGTGAAAACCCACGGGGCTCACGAGACCCAGTGTGAGAGTGTGTGTGAGTGTAAGTGTGTGCGAGTGCTGGCATACTAGCTAAAGCCAAAAGGCGAAACAATTAAACTAAGTTTGGTGACAGGTGAGGTCCTGCTAGATGCCAAGCGGCGGGAGAGGCTCTATCTATGCGTTGGCGCGAGGGCACGAGGCCACTGAACGATGTGGCGGGGTGTCGGCCTCTCGGTGACTGTTAAACATAAGATAGAATGGGGGTGACAGGTGAGGCCCTCCCTATGCCACAGTGCGAGGCGACTAACTATGATTTGGCCCGAGGGGCGTAGTACCTCCGAGTATGAGGATGGGTGTTGGCCTTGCGGGACCACTAACCTAAGGCAAAGAAGCAGGGGGGGGGGGGAAATTACCACTAGTGGGCACCTAGGACCCTAACAGCCAGCAACAGCTAACTAAGAGGGGATGGGTAAGGAGTGAGAGAGTGGATGCACTGCGTGACGAAGATGAGGGGGGGGTCATTCAGAAGATATTTTCTCCAGTATTTTCCCTAAATATGCATGTATTTGAAGTGTCGCATTATACTTATAATATAATGGTTACAGCTAAAATTCAGCTGTTTTCTACTTCTGTGAAAGTGCCTACCTAAAATGTAACATTTATTGAAAACAGATAAAGTATGACCTTTCCTCTGTAAGGAGAAGGCAAAAAAGGTTATACTAAACAACTTAAAAAACTAAGCATTTTGAGCGCATAGAAAACAAAAACACATAATGTCACCCAGCTAAAAGTCCCTGAGTAGGGTACCTACCCGTAACCAGAACTGCATACAACACACGTGTGTGTGGCCACATGGCCGCCGGTGAGAACAGATGTGCACGTGCGACGGCGTCGCTGGGGGTGATGGAAAGCTCAAGAAAAGGGAAGAGGAGTCACCGCAAGATTCTTTTCCAATCCGGGCGGTCAGAGTGATGCCCGCATCCAGTCTCCCCGCCGACAATTTCACCAGCCTCGCACCTGCACCAATAGTGCCCGTCCCCACTCTGGCCTCCCCCACTCCCGAGAGCACTGCGGCGCACAACACACCCAGCCTGGTCCGCTGCACCCTGGGCGGTAGGAAACAACAGAGGCTTGGAGCACCAGGGGCAACCGGAGATCCGGAGCAGAGCCCAGGAGGACCACAGACAACGATCACCAGGTGAACAGCAGGCCAGGCAAAGGATCCTCGAGGACCAGGTAAGTGAAGAAATGGAGCGACAAGCGAATCGCTATAAACACGTACGGGATGGGGGAAGGTGAGTAGGGGGGGTTTAAGTAGTGTAACAAGCCCCTCCCACAACTGCAGGCCAAGCCTTTTCATATATATATATATCCTATATAATTCCATCTAACTGGTTGTTAGCAACAAGACTGAATATCTTTATGCGAATCTCAGCATTGTATGCAAAAATTAGCACAGTTCAGTTGTTTCTCTTTTTTTTATTTTCCATAAGTCATGGAAAGTTACTATTTCCCTTTGTAAGTGGGTATGATTTACTTATAAAAGCTACCATGGCATCTTCTCTGTCACATCATTGATTTTTTTCTAGCATTATTTTTTTCCCATGTTCTAAATTTCTTTTTTTTTTTATGATCAGTGCCTCTTAACATTCATACAGGGTTTCACATTTAAAAAGTGTTGCTGGTCTCTTCAATTGCTATTATTTTTGTTCCAAAAATCCACAGACCTCTCTAATTTGGGTTCCCGGAAGCATGGCATTTCTGCCATTCCAACACTAAACACGTCTTCTCTCCATGTAAACAAAGTCTTCAGACAGAGTACACAAATAAAACATGCTTCACTCTTGCACAAAAAAAAAAACCAGCTTCATCCCTCCTTCTCTTTTGGTGCCTGGCAAGCAAACTGGGGAGAAATCCATACACTCCTCTTAAAAGAAAATAGTTTTCAGGATTCATAATGGAACATTAAACCAGGCGGGATTCAAGATGAAAGGTCAAGCCGCAGCAGAAACAGGACTCATATGTGCCTCCAGATTTTCTTTCTTATGTCTGCTGGCAAACAGCCTCATGTTTCTCTTTTCTTCTTTTTCTTGGGTAATAAGATTTACAAACTAAAACAAGCAAACATTAAGACCAACCATGAAAACCAGTGAAAAACTTGGCCTGTTGCTGTAGCAGAACAGCATCTACACAGAACGTGGTTAGCTCATGGAATCCATATGGAATGGCTAGTTACACCTAGTAGATCACCAACTCATCATGTAAACATTTAGAAATAAAAATTTGCTAAACTTAAAAGTATGCATACATTAGGGTGCACAAGGCAACCACTTGTCAAATTATACAGACTGGTGCAGAGTCTTGTTATATGGTATATGAATAAGTATATCTCACTAAATACTCCCCAAAATATCTAGGCAATTACATCACCCCATCCCCATCCCCCCTCTCCTTCCCAGTTAATTTCCCTACATCCAGCTTTATTCCTCCCAATTAATGTCTCCACAACTTCCTAGAACATCTGCCCAGTACATCTCTAACCAGTCCTACCCCTCAATACCTCACCCACCCGTAATTCAACTTCCCAGATCCAACAGTATCCACTCCTTTGTAAATTCCCCCAATTAGTTTTGCTGCATCTACCCTTATTCATTAGCAAATGTCAGGCTCATACACACAGACTCCCACAATCACATAGTTGCATGCACGCACAATGTCCTTACTTACCAGCATCTTGAAGCCTGTTGTGAGTGTGAGGTGGGCATAGTTGTGACATGGTAATCCCTCCTCCCCCCCAAAAAAATCCACAGAGTTATTGGAACATGTCAGTCACACACAGATATACTTCACTGCGCTACTGTTGAGAAGGCACTTCTGAATAGGATGATCCTATTGCTAAATGAGAGAATTAGCCCTAGAATGACAAATTAACCATTGAAAAGTCTGCAAAATAGTGGCATTCATTTGTAAGGCATTTTTGGGATGTGGTATTTACCCCATTCTTATTACACCAGTCGGTCTATAATATTATTTGAAATACAAATTAAGGAACAATTTCATTTGGTTAATGATCCCAACTTCACTCATTTCTTTTTGTGTTGGTGTGTCAATGTGGATATTTAATAGAGGATATTCTCCAGTGGTTGCATGAGTATTATTTATCTTGTTTAAGATAATATACATACAAAAACCTGAATCTCTCTTCATAAATGCTTACTTGAGGTTGCACCAGATTGCAGAGATATTGCTCACCCTTGCAAAATGTCTCACGGTGACTAGTTAAATAAATCACCTGAAGAGTGAATGTGTGCATGGGGGCTGTGCAAGAGGACAGATACAGAAGCACAGGACAGAGAAGGGAAAATGCAAGGATCAGGGCCGGCAGCTAGTATACAGAAACAATAGTCCATAAATAGCTTCACAAAATTCACCCAGACCAGTAAAATACTTGAGGAGTGGACACCACAAAGTTGACATACGATCTCCACTGACAGCGGGTAAACCCCCGGAGATTGTGACATCCAGCTGTATACCACAGACGAGACTTGAGATACTCAGCCGCACCTATTGTCCAACGGTCTCCATTAAATAGGTCCCAAGCAGGCTTGTACTCACCGCAATGAACTACTTATGTTTCTCTCAACCTGACTAATCATATACTTGCATTGTGGTTACTAGGACCTCTGTTTAACTAACAATGCCAATGATGTCATCACTGTTGTCGCAATACTGCTTTCTTGACTATCATTCTACACGGCACTGTCTACCACTCAAGTTTAAATAAAGAATATAAAAAATAAATTAGCTTCACAAAACAAGTGAGTCAGAAGTTGGAAGAATGCTTCCATAAATGGCAACAAATGAACAGACTGTAAATCAGGTACTCCCTTCTGTGCCAACACTTTCTAATTGGGTCCCCATGGACCAGGTGGGTGATAGATTACGGTGAATCACCTAAGTGCGTAGTGTTGGATTTTAATGTAAATGTACATTTGTGTGTAGTATTGGTGTTTGAGTGAAGGGTGTGTTTGAGTGTTAGTATATAATTTTAGAGAAGTTCAGGGATGTCTTTGTATGTTATGTTTATGTTTGCATGGGTTGTGTTTGCATGTTGTTTTGGAGTTTGATGGGATGTCTGCACTGACACACTTACACAGATATAGATAAAATATATACACACACATTAACACACAGATATACACATACATTCATACACAAACTGACACAAACACACAGTCATATACACACTGACACACAGAAACCCATTGATACACACACTTGCACACACTAACACACAGATACACACACTGACAGATACAAATACTGGCACACACACACTGGCAGATACACTGACACACATTGATACTCAGACACACATCTTGGCACACAGATACACAAACTGACACACAGGTACACACACATTAACAGGTACACACACTGGCACATATATACTGCCAGATACACACTGACACACAGATACACACTGACACTTGCAAACACACTAAGATGCACACACTGACAGAGACATTGACACAGATACACACAGATGCACACACACTGACACTCATACATTTCTTGACATACAGATACACACGCTGACGCACAGTGACACATGCACACCTTGGCACACAGATACACACACACACAAACATACATAAACACACACACACACATATGTCATAATATTTGTATTTTCAGTCACCCTCCTGTTCAGTTACCTTTTATCTTCAGGAGGGTGACTTGCTTGCAGTGCTGCTGGGTGCTGGAGTTCTGATGGCTGCTGAAGTGCTACTGGCTACTGTACTCTCCCTTCTCCTGCCTTTTCTTGCTCGGCACACTCTAAGTCTGGGAGGAAGTGACACACTGTCAGTTCCTCCTAGCATCCAGTACAGTCCAGTAAGACGCCATGGCCTTTTAAGACCGCAACCGGGTCCCAGTGATATCAATCAGTTGGCCCTAAGTGCATGGTACACCTGATGGGCAAATCCCTGCGAAACCCCATTTTTGTTCTAAAATAAAACATTGTAGCTGACATTTTGAAAATTAGGATGTAAAAAACAACAAGAAAAAGGAAACTCAAAAGGCTGGAAAGTGGGAGGGGAGGAAAAGACACTCCCGTATCCCAATGCCGAGCCTCCAGAGTATAGAGGTCACCTGGACTGGTAAAAGGGGGTAACCCTGGAAATTGTAGAAAAAAGGAAGAAAAAAAAACCCAAAAAGGGATGTCTTATATAAAGACCGCCCAGAGGGTAAATACCCAGTCCAATCTCAACAGTAGTGTAGTTGCCAAAAAATAAAAAAGCCTTTATTGAAATCTATTAAAAAACCTGGGTAATCAGTGATGGACAGAATAATATAGGGAGAAATATGTATGGTAGGAACAAGGCTAATCAAGAGCCAACCCTCACAAGAAACGGAGAGGGGATAGAAGGCAATATGTACCCCCATACATAACTCAGGTAACAAAGCAGTAGGAAAGAACAGGGAAAGGGAGAAACACACACTCCCAACCAAACAGTAGTGCTATGCTAATACCCTATCTCCTATAAAACACCTTCGTGGGTGTTCTAATCTAAATGCTGTCATAACATCTGAAGCCCCAGGTACACACACATACTAGAAAAACATAAATGAAAAGGTGCTCAGAGCAAAGTGCTCAAGAGAGTATTAAAAACACAGAAGACCCCGACGTACGTTTCGGCGTGACCACACGCCGTCCTCAGGGGTATCAGCAGTGAGCAAAAAACTGTCCGGGTGGTAAATTTATACCTTAAGCTCATAAGCTTTATTGTAATCACCTGTGATTGTGTCTAAATTGCTCCGGTCCTCCTGTGAATGGGGCTGTGGGGGTGTGGTGTAACACACCATAGTGTCAGCCCACATTTCAATGTCAGAGGTAGCCAGAACAGAAATCAGGTGAAAGGCAATTAACCCTTTGAGTGCCCCGCCCGGAACAGATATAAATGGATACTTACTATATCTAAAAGGCAGTATCCATAGCTTAACAGTTAACCCTTGGAATGTCCAAATTGTATCATATAGGTCAAGTGTGTGGATTGATTCTTATGGCTGTATTGTGTAGCTTTAGTACAATTAAAGAAACAACTTATAGCCGTTGTGAACCAGTAAGGGATAAGTACAATGGCTATATGGGCAGTCATACACAGAAGCCGACAATTCTTTTATTGCCACTGTAAATAGT